TAAGCTTCTATTTGACGGCGCTGACAGAGCATCAACTGCAACTGGCATGTTTTGAAAAGACCAAATTGCCTTATCCACTAAGAAGGTATTTGTTGCCACAACAGTGCAAACCTGGAGTGGATGTCGATGATTGACACATGACCGCTGCGGCAGAGAAACTACAAAGCTGGACATTTATCCCAATTAGCACACACCCGTGTTTGCACGCAAAGTGACATAATTAGGGCAGACGAGGAAATGTGGCAAACAACAATGGACCTCATAGTCTGTGATGTGTGCTATAAGTAGACAATAAGCTGCTAAAGCTCCCACTCGACCCCTCATTATAGTCAGTCAATCCTGACATCAAAGAGAAGACAACCTTATGGCCATAGGATGATAGTGTGTGTATATGTGTGTGTGTGAGGGTTTATAAGAGTGTGTGCGTGCGTGTGTATGAGTTTATGAGCGTATGTGTGTGTGTGTTTATGTGCACATATATGTTCTTGTTCGTCAATCTTTGCATGGGCCAATTTAAGTTTTACACACTAAGCGTAAGCACATTTTTGTACAGTGAGGACATTTTGGCTGTTTTTCACATCTTCAAAGGGCTGTTTGAGGGTTTACAGATGGTTTTAGGGTTAATTGTATAATTAGATTATATCAAAGGGTCACTTCATACAAATTACAACAAAATAAAGTTAATAGCAAGGTTTGTAGATTACTGTAGAAAGGAAAGTGGCTGTTGAGTTTTTCCAAACATCATTTTTCACACACTGGGGACCACATATTAAATCTAATTCATCACCGTTGTATTGGGATGGCAGCAGAAGTTTCTCAGGCAGCTATCTCAAACTTTAAACGCATTATCACTCCCAACTCCAAACTGACATTGGTCAGTAGCCCTACATGTCAAACGATGGCACTCTAGGTACCTCTCCAGTGTCTGTTTTCCACACTTAGGCATCATAATTTATGCTTTTTAGAAGAATCGTGTCTTTACAAAATAAACTTAAGTAACACAAGAACGTGGCTAGGTTTAGAAAACATCACGGGTTGGCTTAAAATAAGCACATTTATTACCGTACCGTGCCGCCGTGTTACATATTGTAACAGCACTGTCGCCTCACAGCAAGAGGGGTTCTGGTTCGAACCCTGGGGTCAGGGAGCTCTTCTATAGAGTTTGCATGTTCTCCCCGTGTCAGCGTGGGTTTTCTCCAGGTACTCCGGCTTCCTCCCACAGTCCAAAGAGGTTAACTGGTGACTCTAAATTGCCCGTAGGTGTGAGCATGAATGGTTGTGTGTCAGTCCTGTGATAGTCTGTCCAGGGTGTACCCCGCCTCTAGCCATCATGGGGGGCTGGAGGCTATCCCAGCTGATATTGATCAGCTGGGATAGCCTCCAGCCCCCCATGACCCCCAACAGGATAAGTGGTCACAGAAAATGTATGAATGAATGAATGATGTATCATCATGTGACATATGCCACTAGCATAGCATGCTGCACATACTAGCACACTACACTGTTGTTACAATAATTTGATTGACTTTAGGTTTCACATGGGTCTAAGTTTGACCCATCCACCTCCCCTCCTGCCCACCCTATGCAGACGTTCTTGCTCATTATACTATGGCAGTTGCTCAAGGCATCAAAAATGCCTCTAAAAGTGAGTCTCATACCGCAGCTAAAGGGTGCCTCGGTGTGTCGGTGTCTGACACTGAGGGCCACTGACCAAGTGTCAGTATTTAAGTGTCAGTATTTAACAAGAGTGAGACAGGGTTGTTCAACACAGAAAACCAAGACTATATGCACGACCAGACACCACTTAGGGGTGTGAGAAAATATGCTTTGGTTCACCCTTTCACAAAATGGGTGAAGTGACCCTTTAACAGGAATAGGGTTAGTGGTTATGGTTACATTTAGAGTTATGGGCAAAGGGATGCATTAGGTCAATGTGGGTCCTTACAAATATAGAAGTATGAACGTGTGTGTGTGTGTGTGTGTGTGTGTTTGAGCGTGTGTGTGTGCACTCTGTACAGTATGTGAGTGAAACTAACTGAAATTGAGGATGTCTTCTTATGCATGTGCTTATGAGTTATGAATAACTTTGTGTCAGAGAATGTGTCAGTTCCTATTACAGCATGTGTGTGTATGGGTGTGGGTGCCTGTGTGTGTGCCCTGGCGTCCTCAGCCTTCTGGCCTTGTCCCGTGACTCTCTGACAGTATTTGGCGAGGCGCTAATTGACGAGGAGCCTCCACCTCGTCGTGTTTTGTCAGAACATGAAGGCCTCGCTGCTGGATCAACAAATCCTGGAGCTCCAAATTCTGCCATATGTCCGGCCATGTGTTCCCATCTACCAGCTGGGAGTGCTCAGCGCCGTGCCTGTCTAACTCACTGACTGTGTGACTGGGACAGTGCCGATCCAGACTGGGACAAGTACTTCAGTGAGGCTGGAATGGTGACATGTTAGTGCTGGTTTTCCTGTGAGTGTGACGTAGCACTTACAGTGTCAGCGTTGATGGTGTAATCCCTCTGATATTAAAGATGTATGTTATGTTAATGTGTTTCGGATAAAATCATCTATCAAACAGCACATGTTTTGTGGACTTCGAGGAATACTTTGGCTTATGAGGAATTAAGTGGTTTTTCCTACTTTGCAAAAGAGGGTCAAAGTCATGGACGCCTTTTTTAGAGTGACTTCAAGGCTTAATATTTCTCTTATAAAGATTTTATAAAAAGCCTGAGAGATGAAATGATCTGACAAACTGCCCAGTTTTTACATACATTTCAGACATTTCAGACACCTGCTAAAACTGCCAACCAGGAGACCACATTGTAGTTGATGTTGACACTGAGCTCTGAGTTCATAACAGTTATGCGGCTGAGATCCATCTCGGTTGCAAAAGTGGATCTGAGGCAAAAAGCCAAAAGTCAAAAAACTGACTTTAACTGACTGACTTGATTTGTAGATTTGTGAAAAAAATGTCAGTGATAACATGCAGATATTTAGCAGATATAATGTTTACTATGTTGATCGTCTTACGCCGCATATCCAATGCATGGTACAGCACAGCTCAACCAAGCTACCGTCAATATGACCCCAAATTTTTAATTGACCCTGATTTCAAAAGATGGCAATTGATGAAGTTCAGGCATTCCTCTGTTTGGTTGACGGTGAAAGGATCTTGTGTTGCATTGAAGATGACATCATAGTAGTTTCATGTGGCGTCGCTATAATGATCAGCTAAGAATCCCGCCCACATTGAGATGGTAACTATCAGCAGTGGGAAACAAATCAAACTGAAGGGTAACAAAAGGTACCCAATGCCAAAAGCGAGTCCAGTCAAGATGAGCTGTACTATACTATGGAAATTCAGGATTAGCTTAGTGCGCTAACATGCTAACATTAACCATAGAAGTGGACAAAATTTTGACCTGATGGTGACGATTAAAAATAAAGACTCTAAAAATCATGGACGTAGCCACTATGATGTTACCCATTGCTTTTTTGGATTCCTGTTTTGAAGCCTTAAGTTTGACATTCTAGCCATCGCCATCTTGGATTTTTAGAGCCAGAGGTGGAGCTGTGGAGGACAAAGGGGTGGATCTGACTGGGAGCTTGAGAACACTTTCCAAAGACAGCCTGTCACTCAAAGGGGCCTTGCCCTTAATAACCTTTATGACTTAGTATAATTTAATGTTCAAGTTATATAAAAATCCACCGCCTGTGCAGTTGTCATCAATGTTGAGATTAGCTATAGAGAGGCTTTTAGCATGTTTAGTTCTGCTGTAAAGTTGGGGATTTTAACATGGAGGTCTATAAGGACTCGCTGTTGGAGCCAGCCTCAAGTGGCCATTAGAGGAACTGCAGGTTTTAGCACTTTCGCCATTGTTCTTTAGCCCCATAGATTGCCGCTTAGATAAAAACCAAAAATGCCAACTTGGTGGTGGCGCTACAGGAAGAGTTAGGGGACCAGCGAAGTCATCTTCTGGGGACCATGAATACCTGTACATTTCATGGCAATCCATTTGGAGGTTTTTGAGATATTTTTGTCTGGACCAAAGTTCTGAACGTACCACAAGGCAGAGTGGCATAACCAACCCCTAAAACATGCTGTTAGCGTCAGTTCTGCATGTCTAACCCACTTAGAGGTAGACAGTAACAAAATCAGCCCCAAAACCCAGAGAGGTGGTGTGTGAGCAGCTTTGATTTCACAATTTGATTAAGTGAAAACAAAATTTGAATTGCATTCAAATTGTTTGCCTCACATTTGTTTGATCCATAAGAAAATCTAAAGCACACTGAGTCATTTGTAGTGATTCTAAGATCAATAAAGACTGAAGTTCAACTGTTTGCCAAAGGGAGACATTTGCCTAGTTTAACTCAATTACTTGGTGGTTACAGGATCATTTCCACTGTAGCTCCTCACAGATTTCCCAGCACAGGGAAACATGTGAAGTTGCTCATTTTTTACAGTCAACAAAGAAATTATATTTTGTTAAACATCCAATCTAGTTCAATGCAGCCACAGCCGCTGCAGCAGACACAGTGGTGCCAAATGATAATGCATTTGTTTGTACTAGTCTTTTCTTTAATCATCATAATTTAAGAAACTTAACACTTGCCTAATGAGGACTTTAAAGCAAGCCACATTTTCAGATTTACCCTGTTATCAGTTTACCACAAGGTCAGTGTGAAGATATAATTTCACGTCATACCCACAACAGTTAATAATAACAGGGTGATCACACACTACTGTGACTTGTGTTTTCCACTCACATTAATCGGTAAAATGTAGCTATTTTCCAGTTTTAACACAATTTAAAACCAACCCCATCGTCAGCTAATGAGCACCTTCACTGGCAAACATGTTCATTTATTATTTTCCAACACTTAGCAAAACATACAATTCTATAAACTCCTCTTGTTAAATGGTGACAGCTGCAGCACAATAGCGTCTGCAGATCTTTATTTATACAAGTCTGTGGAGTTTATAGGAAAACGTGTGAGCTGTCTTACCTGGTTTGGTGACCGAAACTCTTGGTTATTGTCATTCATGTACATGTTGTCACCATCAAACTGTGGACAGAAACAGAAAGGAGAAATAAACATGGTATGCAGGAAGAGGTTTGCAAAAAAACAAAAATGAGGGCCGCAGAGGAGGTGCAAAGAGGAAAAGCTCTTTACGGGTGGCCTGAAGTGTGAGACTAATGACTTTGTCACTTTGGTTAAACCTCGTGGTGGCATGGCAGCGTGGGTAATTACTGCTCGTCAGCGGGCCGGTAATTAGGCTACATGAGCACAGTGACGGGAGATGGGCTTTTCCCTGTGGGCTCTGCTGTGTGTGTCTGAGAATGAGTGTGAATGAAACTGTGAGTGCATACAGTAGTAAAGTGTGTGTGCCTGGCTTTGAGACTGTGGACCCAGTGTGTGTGCGTGTGTGTGTGAGAGCGTGTGTGTGTGCGGCACAGTGGGGGCATGCTGTGTCTTCAGGATCGAGTTAATAAGGCATTGAAAGATCACTTGCTGCAGGTGCCAAAACACAGTTTGACACGACAAATGACCCTTGACCCCCAAGGGTGCTGGGAAACAACACCAGGTCACCAGTTGAGCGCTACATGCCACATGCTAGCTCTGATAGCTGTGGTGTTGTTACACTACAGGCTTTAGGAACTGGCCACTGATACTAGCTTTGAGTGGGCTATAAATGAAGACAAAACCACACAGATTCTGCTTTTAGCTCCGGAGAAAATGAGATTCTGCCCCACAGACGGCTCAGTAACAGAACCTGCACAGTGTCAAGGTGACTGAGAAACTGCTACCATGTTATAAAGACCTGTGTTGCAAAATGCCCTTGGCTTTCAAAGGCATCAAGCTTTGTCATATCACGCTTGCAGCAAATGGAACAAACCTTGACTGGACTGGATAATAACGCTCATGAACACAAATGCACACAAAAACCCGACGTGTCAAATAAAGCCTCCTTTTTGTTTGTTGACTGAGGTCACTCTTTGTGATATCAATGCACCGAAGACTCGGGAAAAAAGACAGCAGAGGCAACATGATCAAACTAGACAGCATTCCATGTCAAATTCCTCAGATGTGAAGATACCGAGGGGCTCTTTTCATTTGGGGGTGGTCCGCTTTGTGCCTATGAGGAAAGCGACTTGAAAGATAAACACACGTTAGATATGAGAGAACACAAATGGATCATGAGATATACCTGCTCAAAACAATAACTAGGTAGACTAATGGACGGAAATGGGCAGAATTCCTGGGGGTGAAATCTAATATCTACACTGGTGGACAGGAAAAAGTCGAAGTAGCTAAATGAGCATGAGAGTGGTGAGAAAGAGAAATTACTGTACATTATTGCAGGAGAACGGCCGGGGGAATGAGTGCCTGCCTCGGGGCAATGGTTGGTTAACGATGCATATCATGGAAGCCCTTGTGAGGATTCACTTGGTTATTCTAATGATTACATTTACATCCAACTGCATACGCAAACATGAAACTGAGACAAGCGTTGCATTCAAACCTCATTCACACTTCAAATGATTAATCCAAAAGCCCTACATTGAAAAAACAACATGTTTATTTCGAGTGAATGCTGACTAATTGTTCAGCGCGACCTGATGAAGTCACAGAAGCTAATTTGCCTAATGAAGCGTGACGGCGTCTGTCACCTGACTAAACCGCAGGGAGAAGTGACAGTAACTCACTGAGAGGGCCAAAGTGATGTTGACCTTGGTGACATATCTGCAATAAACTCTTTCACTCCCCACATGAAAGCCTCTTGTCCTCGCCTAACTGAGCAATTTCATTCCATTGAAATCCACTTTGATATCACTGGCGAAGTGAAGCCATTTTGAGAGCTTCTTTAGGATAAGATTCTCTCGGGTGAAAAGAGAGCACAGTCACTGAATAACGTCATTTTGTAACCACATAACGCTCCCAGATCTTGTATTTTAGCTTATTTTGAAAACTGGATTCCTCAACGCAAAGCCTCACTGCTGTTTCTTTCATCTCCAACGGAAGCAACCAAGTCAGACAATGCTCATTTTCACCAATTACATCCGTAATATAATATTCCCCAAAAAGGCCAAAGACAGCCTGGAAAGGTCAGCCATTTTGTGCTTCAACATGGCTGCCCATATATTGCAATGTAAAGCTGTTTCCCCCTGCTCTTCTCTCCATAGCTCTCCTTTGCACCGCCTCGCTCTACCACTTAAAATGCCAATTTATCCTCAGCTCAATGCTATCAACTCTGCCATTACTCCACATTTACTGCAGAAATCATCTTCTCTTTCTCTGTTGTTCCCTTTCTCTCTCTTTTCTTTCACTCTCTCCATCTTCCTCCTTCCACTCCCCTTTATGTTCTCGTCGTCCCCACCTCTCTCTGTGTTACAACCTCCCTCTACTTCTCCATCTCCCTCCCCACCCCTCTTTCCCCCCTCTTCCCTCTTCTTCTTCTTCAGTGGGCCTTGGCATCGCTTTCTCATCGGCAGTCTAATTGGGCATTCTGCCTGAGACAAGGGCCTCATTAAGCAGTAATTACACACATGTTGTTTTCGGCAAACATCTCTATTTGGATTGCTTTGCATGGTAATTGTTCAGCAGGGACCACTGCTCGCGATGTTTCCCTCCGTGACACACGTGGTGCTGGGAGAGAGGAATAAAAACATGGAGAAGAAGGATGGAGAGAAGGGGAGGGGTGGAGAGATGGAGAGAGGGGGATGTGAGAATAGAGAAAAAATAATAATAGGTTGTGGAAGGGAGACAAATTGAGAAATAAAGAATGCATACACGAGAGAGACGGAGGATGAGAGTTACAGAGAGGCAGAAAAGAGACAGACTAAAAGGATGAAGGCGATGCTGAGGCAGTAAATGGAGAAAGACAATGAATAAATGACAAAGAAAGAGGTAGACAGATTCTGTGTGAGAAAAAAATGAGGTGGAGCGGCAGAGAGGGAGAGAATGAAAAAGACATAGAGAATGAGAAAATGAGGACGAAAAGTGAGAAAGTAAAGACAGCGAAGGAGAGAGAGAGAGTCCCAGAACTAGGTCATGCCTTGCAATCATCGACAAAGCTGAGCGTTTCAAAAATAATGAAGCCACAAGGTGGAAGTAATGCTAACTAGCATATCCAGGGAAAACATGTAATATTTACACAGTGCTAATGGTGCGATACAATGCTGGGATCTTTTCATCTCAGAGTGCGCCGGTGAGACAGTTGATGGCAGGATTGGAGGCAAAATTACAGACTCCAGTGAAGATTGTTGTTGATTGATGGACAATTCAAATAAGCTCCTCATAAAGCCTTCCAGGCAACATCTGTTTGTGGAGGGGGCTGGGCGGAGATGAACCGCTTGTGTGCCTGTGTAATGCTACGACTGTCCAGTCATTAGAGAGAAAAATGACCTCACAATAATGAAAAAAAAAAATCTAGATTTTGATAGACAGGAAACCAATTATCTAGGAGGCAGAATAAAATTAGATCTGGAACTTATGATTTGAAACACACAAACATCACAGCAACCTGTTCTGATACATCTGATAATACCAATAACTAAACTACAAGTCAGGTTTATTTGTCAAAAGCTTGTCTCAAAGGGCTTTGACATTAGTGGGAAGTATCGAAGTACATTTCTTAATTGTATGCTATTTTCTTCTTCTATTTCACTGCACTTCAGAGGTAAATATCACACATTGTGCTCCACAACATTCATTTAAATGAGCAGTGTGCAGGACTTAATGGCAACTAGTGGGGAGGTTTGCAGATTGCAACCAGCTGAATCTTCTCACTGTTAGAATTCCTTCAGTGTCCACTGTTCAGTAGGTTTTTACCCAGAGCTGAATTATCTGCAGAATCTCTTCCTCTTCAAAACAAACGGACCAGGTGATTAAAATCGGTAAAGACACTGAATAAAACAGTTTCACGTTACAATCAGTGTTTCTCCTATGCTGGTTGGCTTGTCCCGAGTAGGCTGCTAGCTAAGCACCTGGTTATGTGTGCTCACCATTTTTCTCTTATACCTAAAGATCCAGACGTTCAATAAGTTTTTACCAGAAGCCGATTTTTCCACAGAAGTCTCCTCCTCTCTAAAACAAACGGGCCCAGGGATTTAAACTGGTAAAAATGCAGACTAAAGCCGTTCATTTTGTTAGGAAGTTGCATAACTGCCTAGAGTTGGTTCGTGTTCTCTCGGCAGTATTTACAAGTGGACCAAATTTTGAACCAGATCAAATGCCTGTGCAAAAGCTGCTCTTGATTGGTCAGAATTTCCATGTGGGAAAAATCCAGGAAGTGAACCAAACGTTGAAGAAGAGTACACTTGCAAGATAAATGCAACGCTTTCTAATGTCACAATGGAGGGACAACTACGCAGGTTGATTTTAGCGCTGGTTATCGTGTACTATATTGCTGTCATTGTTCATTTTAGGCAACCCATACAGTTTGAAAACGCGAAGCGGATTTGATGCATTGGATGTATAATGTGCATATTAAGGCAGTACAGGAGGAGGCGCACATTAATAATCCTCCAGGACTGTAACATGTTCATGTTTAACCCAAACAATGCGTAAAACAAGGTCAGAACACGTTCTCACCACAAACGAAACGCACCAGAGTTCATTTGTAACCAGACCGAGACCACCTCTTCAAGAAGGTTGCGGTCTGGTTGTTTTGGTGCACACCTGAGTGCGATTGTTGTGTTTACATCTGCCCAAACGCACCACACTTACAGGGCCAACGAATTTGAGTTTGATTGAACTGAACCAAACAGGGCAGGTGTGAAAGCACCCCAAGGAAACGAAAGCACGGTTCTTAGTTTCAGGTGATTACACACTAAAGAAAACATATTACATTATATTCCATTTATGCCCATATATTCCCCTCAATACTACACACTGCATCTTTAACGGCTATAGTGACTTCAGTACAGATGAAAATTTTACATACCAAACTTATGATCAGTGTTGCTATAGATTAAACCACTCAAACGTACATGAAGTACTTTCACATCTAACTAGAACCGGCTACAGCAAGTGACCTTACACATTGCACCACTGGGCTTCAC